CGACGTGGGACCTGATCCCGGGTCTCCAGGATCACACCCTGGGCTGAAGGCGGCGGCGCTCAACCGCTGAGCCACCCGGGGCTACCCGTGGATTTCAATTCCCATCTAGCAAGTCTTCTCAGTAGCTAGTTTGAGAGAATGAATGTGTTAATCAACTTTGGAAGAGAAAGAAAATAAGCATCAGAGAGGCAAATCTGCTCATACTCACTCCAACACTGTTCAGAAAAGATAGAACTTTGCCTAACATTATTTGAGTATTTCTATTGATGTGAATGAAACGGAATCTCTTAGCTTGGTGCCATTAGGCAATTAATTCATTAATTTGCTCAACTTCCCTTATTCTGAGTCCAAGATCAAACATCATTTTGATTCCAGGCAGGTATGCCTACATGATTTGAGAATACTGGTGATGTTGAAAACAGTAAGTCAGTCCCTGCAACTATGATTTCTCATAGTAATTCAATGATGTGGATTCTGATCACATTTTGTTTTCCCAAATACCTAGACTATAGAGGGAATATGTGAATTGTTTCTCATTTGTGAGAGATAGTTGTTTTTTTTTTTTAATCAGCTTCTGGCACTTACTTGAGGGTGTTGTATTTTAGTTGGCATGGTCAAGAGCACATTTCTCATCCTGGAAAGTAAAAGGCCAGATATAATTGGTTTCCCTAATGACATAGCATATATGGCATTTCCAGATGGTTGTATGTCCTCTAGAAGTTCCTTTACTTGAACTAACTCTGGCCATTGTGATCATCAGTTTCCTTTCAAGAGCTCACATACATTTCTGTTTAATAATTCCATTTAAAATTTTCCTTGTGGGGGATCTGAGTGGCTCAGTGGCTGAGCTTCTGACTTTAGTTCAAGTCGTGATCCCAGGTTCCTGGGATCTATTCCCGCATCGGGCTCCCTGCGGGGATCCTGTTTCTCCCTCGGCCTGTGTCTCTTCCTCTCTCTCTGTGTGTGTCTCTCGTGAATAAATAAATAAAATCTTTAAAAATAATAATAAAAATAATAATTTCCTAGCAAGCAACTAGAAACTGATATGAGATCCTAGAATTTGTCTTTTCCCCTTTTCAAATACTTACCAGTCTGTGGTTATCTGACACTTCTCTTATAACTATGACTTCTCCATGAATACTCAAGGTAGTTCTGCAAACAGTTCTTTCCTACTGTATCATATATCCAACTCAAACAGAAAAGAAAAAAGTGCCAAGGTCAAATTTTCTTAGATAATTTTCAATTTACCCATTCATTCATCTATCATCTATCCTTTCAATTTACCCATTCATTCATCTACCCATTCTTCATCTATCCTGCAAATCTCCATTTGCAGATTTCTAGAAAAAGCATGCTATATAGCATTTGAAAGAAATCAAACACAGTGCTCTGGCCTAGGATTGGAAAAGTGAAGGGTGGAAAGAGTGCGTGGTAGATGATATCTATAACAGGAAACAGCTAACAGACTAAAACAAGGTCATTAAAAAAATAACAATAAAAAAAATAAAACAAGGTCATTACAATATCACATTTCCAGCTTGGACGCTGAGTACTTAGAGAAGAACCTCTACCCACTTGGTCAATACAGTTTTACTAAGCATAGAGTAATTAACACAAACTAAGGGAGAGCTTGATTAGTTTAAATGGAAGTTCTTATAGAAATTTTTTGTTTGAACAGCAATCTTCAAATTGGGGTCCTCAGACCCCTAGGGGACCATGAATATTTTCCAAGAGGACCCAGGTTCTAGGGTGACCAATTATCCCAGTTTATCCAGAACTGTCTTGGTTTTAGCACTAAAAGAGCATGTTCCAGGAAGCTCCTTAGTCCCTAAGGCTGGCTCTCAACTTACCTGTTTCCTCCTCCCTAAAACTGATGCGTCTGAGATTTTGCTGATTTTCCTTTCCCACCACTCACCTTTTCATAAGGGTCCTCCTCTCACTTGATACAAGCCACGACTCTTACTCATTCCTAAATTTATTATGACTTACCCTGGACTGAAAAAACCTCCAGGCACCTGAAAGAAAAAAAAGATAGGAATAATGATATGGGCAAAGCCTCCTTCAATATAGGCATTGTAGCCCCTTGGTAGGGGCTCATCTTTCAGTTACATGATGTGATGGTTAATTTTTTTTTAATTTATTCATGAGAGACACAGAGAGAAAACAGAGACACAGGCAGAGGGAGAAGCAGGCTCCTCGCAGGGAGCCCGATGTGGGACTCGATCCCGGAACTCCAGGACCATGCCCTGAGCCAAAGGCAGACACTCAACCGCTGAGCCACCCAAGCGTCCCGTGATGGTTAATTTTATGTATTAACTTGACTGGGCCATGAGATGCCCATATATTTAGTTAACCATTATTTTGGGTGTGTCTGTGAGGGTGTTTCTGGATGAGATTAATGTTTGAATTGGTAAACTGAGTGAAGCAACTCGTCTCCCTAATGTGGGTGAGCCTCATTCAATCATTGAAGGCCTGAGTAGAACAACAATAACAACAACAAAAAAAGGCAGAATAAGAGAGAATTCACTCTCTCTGCCTGATTATCTTCAAGCTGAGGCATCAGCTTTCTTTTGCCTTTGGACTCAGATCCTGGAACTGACACCATCAGCTCTCCTGGTTCTCAGGCCTTTGGACTGGGGCTGTAACTATACCATCAGCTCTCCTGGTATCTAGCTTGCTGACTACAGACCTTTGGACGTCTCAGCCTTCATAGATATATAGGAGCCAATTTCTTTTTTTTTTAATTTATTTATGATAGTCACAGAGAGAGAGAGAGAGAGAGAGGCAGAGACACAGGCAGAGGGAGAAGCAGGCTCCATGCATCGGGAGCCCAACGTGGGATTCGATCCCGGGTCTCCAGGATCGCGCCCTGGGCCAAAGGCAGGCGCTAAACTGCTGCGCCACCCAGGGATCCCCAATTTCTTATAATAAATCTCTATCTGCCTATCTATCGCTGTACATAAATATACACAACTATAAATGAAACATATTTTTTTGGAAAGACACCAATAGGATATATCTATAACTATCATTTATCTATTCAGGTATAGACTACATCAAATAGAAGAGCATACTTAGATTTAAGTGATAATTGCACAATCTGTGAATAAACTAGAAAAACAGTGAATTGCACACTTTAAATGGATGGATTGTATCGTATGTAAATTATATCTCACTAAGGCCATTAAGAAATTACTTAATAAAACATATATTCCAAGGAGGGAAACACTATAGAGCACAAGCCATTGCCCAGAAAGCAAAAGAAAACAGGACTTTGGACAGCCCCGGTGGCTCAGCGGTTTAGCATTGACTTCAGCCCAGGGCGTGATCCTGGAGACTAGGGATCGAATCCCACGTCGGGCTCCCTGCATGGAGCCTGCTTCTTCCTCTGCCCGTGTCTCTGCCTCTCTCTCTCTCTCTCTCTCTCTCTCTCTCTCCCCCCCCCATCTCTCATGAATAAATAAATAAAATCTTAAAAAAAAAAGAAAGAAAACAGGACTTTGAAGGGAGAGCCCAGCCGAGAGAGGCTCTATGATATGAGGTGGTGGAAACTGTAAAGTATATGTGCAAAGAGGAAGGGGAAGGTTAGGGCCTGACAGGGAGACTGAGGATTCCAAAGAATTTTGTCTACTTTAATCTTTTTTAAGATTTTATTTATTTTTTCATGAGAGACACACACAGAGAGAGAAAGGCAGAGACAAAGATAGAGGGAGAAGCAGGATCCTCACAGGGAGTCAGATGTGGGACTCGATTCCCGGACCTGGGATCACACCCTGAGCCAAAGGCAGACGCTCAACCACTGAGCCACTCAGGGGTCCCTGTCTGCTTTAATTTTGTTAAAGGCCATCCTTTGAACAATCTCTGAAAGAAGGTCCTAGAGCCTAAAGGAGCAGTGTATGATGTCAGCACCTAACCTTTGTGACATAGGCACCAGGTGCCAGGGAGAGCTAACCCCAGAGAATGGAGTTCATAGCTCCCCAGGGGGGCGGCAACGCCACCCCTTAGACAAAGTCCAGTCTTCTGGAAACTTTCACCAACTGACCCCACTGCTGCTGCTGGGTGTGCTGAGGGCCAGCCTGAGCCAGAGGACGTCGGCAGCATTAGGGGTGATGAGGAGTCAGGGAAACCAGAGTGGCAGGAAATCAGGATGCTTGCAGAATCCCTGATTTAGGTTTAAGAGAGCAAAAGTCTGTAACAGAAGACCTCCTCCTGGCTGAAGGAGCATCAAGGGCAAGGCTCAGACAGAAATCTAGGTCAGCATGAGTTTAGGGTGACAGATACTGGGGACAGAGCGGGTGTATCCACCGTTTGGTGACTGTTCCTCTCTCTCCCAGGTTCCTCATTGCTGAAGTGCCTTGTGAAACTCAGCCCAGAAGAACCCTCACTGGTAAGAGCTCACAGCCCCAGAACAGCCCCAATTTCTGGTCCCATTTCAGCGGCCATCCTCAAGCCCCTCCTCCAACTCCGTTCTACCTCCCCACCTCCACCCTTCTCCCCCTCAGGTCTCACTTTCTCTGGAGCATTTTACCAGCTCTTCTGACCCCAAAGGTGACACAGATTGAGGGTCTTGGTAAACTAGTCTTCAGAGCCAGAAGTGGACCAATTCTCCCAATATCTTAGATTCTGTTTCTTTCTCTCCAGGTCTACGGGCTGCGTCTTCCTCCCTTAGCCCACCCAGATAGTTGTCACTGTCCCTCAGCACCCAAGAGGCAGCTCTGATTCTCCATCCCTATACATCCCTCATCAATGGCTGACTGCAAAGTGAGAGGCCAAGTTTAGACCCAAGCTGCTGCCCAAACCCTCAGAAAGCCTAGTGCTGCGGGATTGGGGGGTCTCCTTGTCCTGCCACCAACAGCCGCACCAACACTAGGCTGCAGCCACACTTGTGCACTGGAGGCCCTGATTTCTTAACCAGGTCTGGCCTCAGAGATACTGGTCCTGTTTCTGCCAGGTCACTCGTCTCTGGTCTTGAGGCCCCAATCCCTTCTGAATTCAAGGCAATGTTGCCTCAAAACAAGGACCAGGTGCTGCTACAGAACACAGTATCCCCTGGGCACCCTCCTCTGCGCCCCTCGCCTCTTGTGGACTCACCACCCAGCAACCTACAACCTCTGTCTCCCCAGCCACCACCCTCTCCCTCCCACCCCCCTTACTCCCCTCCCCCACAGTCCCACTCTCCTGGCTCCCATTTCTATTCTTCTGACTCCAATTCTGACTTTATCCTACACCCTTACTCTTCCTCTCTCCCAAGCTCCCCCAGTTTCTTTCATCAGAATTACCTCTCTCTCTCCTTCCCACCCTCTTCCTCTGCCTCCCACCAGCTATATCCCTCCCCTGCTCTCACTCATTCCTCCTCCCCCTCTCAGCTGTGGAACACCTCTCTTCCCCAGTCTCATTGCCAGTCGGCTTCCCACTCAGGAGACTACCCTAGCTCCTCTGTCACTTCCCGGACCCCCAGCCTACCTTCTGGTGGGGTCCACTTGAATAGGCAGACATGGCCCTGGCATCAGTACGGGGACACCGGGCCCCCTGGGGCAGTGGGGGAATGTGTAGCAAGCGAGAGGGACCCTGCAGAGTTCAGGGACCCAGGGGCCCTGGCCCAGGCCCTGGTGGTCCATCTGGGGCACCGCCGCATTGCACACGACCTGCAGCTACTGCTTCTGCAGCGCCTGTGGCTAGGCAAAACTGGCCAGGCCCCAGTTGTAGAATATCCTATATGCCTGGTGTGTCTCAAGCCCCGCAGCCCTTCTTGCCCCATCCCGAGGTACAGGACTGGACCCCGGCTGCTTGCCTTTCCCCAGCTACTGCCCTGTGCACAGGGCCAGGAATCCGGACCACTCCGCATAGGCATTGGTTTTGGCCTCCGCCTGTCTCGGGGCCAGGCCAGGGCCTTGCATCTGTTGCCAGAAAGAAGGCCAGAGGAAGCAAGGCCTCAGGGCGAGGCCACTCAGGCCCATGGATATCAAACTCGGGCATCCCAGGCTCCAGCAGCTCAAGCACCAGTGGCTCGGGCTCGGGCACGGGCAGATCCAGCCCCTGGCACACAGTCCCAGACCGAGAGCCTCAGATCTACAGGCCCTCGATTTCCAAACTCTACATGCTTTTCAGGGACTCTACCTCAGGCACCCAAACAGGCCATTGTCTCCCTGAAGCGCAGGCCTTCCTCTGCCCCCAAGAGGCCTGCCTCTCCAGAACCCATTCTCCAAAAGTCACCACCCTAGTTCCAGAGCCTAGGAGGCTACCTGGAGCACCTCCTCTGAACCCTGCTGCCCCTACCCGGCCCAAGATCTCAGGGAGCCCTCGAGACACCCTGAAGGGCTGGCTGGCAGGAGGTCAGGTGTGTTCTCCAGCCTTGAACCCTGGGAGCCCCTTATGGAGTCTGCTCTCTCCTGGCTGAAGAGGATGAAGGATCCCTGAAACCCCATTCAGCCTTCATTGTATCAATAAAGCCTGACCCTGTAAAACTCGAGTTAGTGCCTGATGTGGAAATTTGGGGTTTGGAGTGAACAGTCAAGAAAGAATTCTTGAGACATCTTTGGCGCAAAAAGGTGGTTTTATTAAAGCACAGAGGCAGGACCCATGGGCCTTAAGTGCTGTGTTGGGGTTGTAAGGGGCGACTGATTATGTAAGTTGGGATGGAGTTAGGGATACTATAAGTTTCTAAGGAATTTTGGAAGCAAAGTTTCCAGGACCTTGAGGGGGCCAGCTATTGTTAGGAAAAGTTCGTTTATTATTGTCTAATAAAACGTTAGTCATGAGACCCTTCAGATATCTCTTAGTAGGGATCCCTGGGTGGCTCAGTGGTTTGGCGCCTGCCTTTGGCCCAGGGCGTGATCCTGGAGACCCGGGATCGAATCCCATGTCAGGCTCCCGGCATGGAGCCTGCTTCTCCCTCTGCCTGTGTCTCTGACTCTTTCTCTCTCTCTTTCATGAATAAATAAATAAAATCTTAAAAAAAAAAGATATCTCTTAGTGGGCCATATGCTTGGAGGATGATTGCTAACATATATCTTGCGGGGTAGAGATAAAGGACTTTTCCAAAGGAATTTTTATATGTTAAAGACTTCCAGGATCCTAGAAGTTGGGATTATGTTAAACTAAAGTTGCCTTTTGCCTCTAGCAAAGTATTAACATTGAGGCAGTTGAGTTCCCTGAAGAAGAAAGGTTACCCAGCCTGTCTCAAGGACTTTTCAATAGGCTGTAAGTTATAATGAAATTTAATTTTTTTCTTTTGCCTTTGTTTCTCACATTGATGGAGGATAGTCAGAAGGAAGGTAGGCAGAGGAAAGGGAGCCCCTGTCCTAAGAGGTTTTTAAGGGTTGAAAAGGAAAAAGACCTCATCCTGTTATTCTAGGCTTTACTCAGGGCCCCAGCTTTAAGTCTTTCTACTGGCGACTTACAGTTTGTATGTGACAGGAAAGAAGCTGATGGCTGTGGGTGTCCTAACTCAGGCCTGTAGCCAGCTCAACAGCCAGTGGATTATTTAAGCAAAGAGCTTGATCTAGTGGCCTGTGGCTGGCCAGCATGCCTTAGGGCAGTGGTGGCCCTGCCCTCTTGATCCCTGAAGCTACTACAAAACACTACCCTGGAAGGAGCCCTCCATCCTTTCACATGTGAACAACGACCTGATAGGTTGAGGACAGTGTAGACAAAAAAAACTTATTGGGTGACAGGCACTTGAAAGGTTAATCAGATTAAAACAGCCCACACCGGGATCCCTGGGTGTTGCAGCGGTTTAGCGCCTGCCTTTGGCCCAGGGCACGATCCTGGAGACCCGGGATCGAATCCCACGTTGGGCTCCCGGTGCATGGAGCCTGCTTCTCTCTCTGCCTGTGTCTCTGCCTCTCTCTCTCTCTATCTCTCTCTCTGTGTGTGACTATCATAAATAAATAAAAATTTAAAAAAATATATTAAAAAAAACAGTCCACACCAAAGAGCCTTTAAAAACCCCTAGATTTAAACACCAAAATGGCAACCCTCTCGGGTCCCCTCCTTCTTTGGGAGCTCTGTACTATTGCTCAATAAACTTTGCTGCCCACCACTCTTCATTCTTCTTAAGTGGTGTGATCAAGAACAGGAAGAAATCCTACAACAACATAGTGTCCTGCTGAGCAGACACTGGTTCAGTGGGTAGCTGAACCCACAATAGGCCACAACTAAGCAAGGGGAGGGGGAGAGTCAAAGGAAACAGAGTGGCCAGGACAGTAGGTGCCACATATCTGAGGAGGGTGTGGGATCCATAAGGCCTGAGCACCTGAGCTGTGCCGAGGGCTCTGTGAGGCCCTTCACACAGTTGATTCAGTTTGGTAGGACAGATGATGGCATCCCCAAAGATGAAGCCACTGGGCCCCTTCCTCCCGTGCACTTTAGGTTAATAAGCATGCTGACTCAGGCAGCCGGGGATGCAGCAGGAGGGGTCTCCTTGAAGGAATGGACATTCCTAGAGTACACTTGCAGAGAAACTTTAAGAGTCTTCATGTTGAAGATCAGAAACCCAAGGGTTTCCCTCAGGAAAGTGGGAATGCCAGGCAGAAAAGACACTTGCCCTGCCTGGGAGCCAAGCTGCCTCCCTCTGAGGGTGTCGGCAGGGAGCAGCCTCCACTCCCAAACCCCTGAGTGCAAGGGCAGTGTGCAGAGCTGCAAGACTGGCCAATTCTCACATCTGCCAACCACAGACCATAGATGTTTTGCTATGTAGAGGCCTCCTCAAACTAGCAATCAGTGGATTGAGGATTTGAAGCCAGTTTTAAAGTCCACACTGCCTCCAATAAAAGGGAAAAGACACAGTTCATGTTCCTAAATGTTGGATTTCCAAGGTGTGTCGCAGCCCTTAACCAAGGATTTTTTTTTAAGATTTTTATTTTTAAGTCATCTCTATATCCAACCTGAGGCTCAAATCTCTAATCCTGAGCTCAAGAGTGACATGCTCTACCAAATGAGCCAGCCAAGAGCCCCCACGGATTTCTTCATTAAAGGTTCATCAGCCTCCCTTCGTTTTCATTAGCTCCCTTCCTTCGCCTCCCGCGGAAGGCCCAAGCCCCGCCCCCTTGGAGGCGGGGTAAGCCGCCCCTCCCCGCGCAAACATGGCGGGGGTGACGTCACAAGGGGGACGGAATCCTGGGGCGGGGGCTGCAACAGCGGCCCGCTAGTGCTGACGCGTATTGGCGGCCCTGCGCCTGCGCACGGAGAGCGCGGGCTAGGCGCGCGTGCGCACTGCGCGACAGCCTGAACTGGTTGGTGGGGGGGGCGGAGATACCGATCCCTGAGTGTCGTTTTGGCAAGTCTCTGGGTTGGAGTTTTGGCAACTCCGAGGGGTGTGGGAGAGGAGCTGGGGATCCTCCTGGCGGCCACGGGACCAGGTTAAGTAGCGGCCGGGACAGTGGTCGAAAGCCGGGCGCGGCATGTCCCTGGTGCCGCGGTGCTTAGAGTGAAGCGCGTGGCGATCAGGATGGGCCGGCGCCGGGCGCCAGAGCTGTACCGGGCCCCGTTCCCGTTGTACGCGCTTCAGGTCGACCCCAGCACGGGGCTGCTCATTGCTGCAGGAGGAGGAGGCGCTGCCAAGACGGGCATAAAGAATGGCGTGGTGAGAGCTCAGGGTCACGGGGGCGGGTCACGCCATGGGCGATGGTGGTAGGTGGTCTCGGGGGTGGCCGCGCCTCGAGCTTCAGACCTTGTCCCTCCCCGGTGGGAAGCCCGGGATTTTCCGGCGCCTCAGCGCGAATTTCAGCTGAGAACTTACCAGAAACTCCAAAGCTAGACTAAAAACAGTACACAGCGCCGCTTAAGCAGGAACTTAGGGTTCACCTGAACCTCAGGAGCAGCTCCAGGGGCCATCTCCTGATCTTCTCTGGGGAGACCGCAAAGACTTGTCCCGCTGCTCTCCAGCAGCGGCAAGAGTGCTGCCTTTTGCCTTTAGGCTAGGTTTCCTCACTCCTCTGAGGGTCACTCTATTGTTTTGTAAACTGGAGGTATTAATCCCCACCCTGCCTGCTGTACAAATTCGTGCGGTTTGAAAGAAAAAAAGGGAAAGAAGCAAGCAGGCTGGAAAAATTTTTTAAAGTAGAAAGTGCGGTAACCAAAGGGGTAGGGCTTTAGACTATAGGATGTAAGCTCGCCCTTGGCAAACTTGAGGTGCTCTCTGGGCAGCCCTGAACTTTGTTCATCCTGGTTCCCTCTTCCACAGCACTTTCTACAGCTAGAGCAGATTAATGGGCGCCTTAGTGCCTCCTTGCTACACTCCCATGACACAGAGACACGGGCTACCATGAACTTGGCTCTGGCTGGTAACATCCTTGCTGCAGGGCAGGATGCCCACTGTCAGCTCCTGCGCTTCCAGACCCATCAGCAGAAGGGCAAAACCAAGGTAGAGAAGGCAGGTGAGAAGCTCCCTCATTAGCTTTGGGGAAAGGATTGAATGCATAAGGTCATTTACTTTGGTTTCTAAAAAAGTGGGGCTGGAAGTGGGTTATGGTAGCAGGCAAGAAGCTGGATGTTCACTACTAGGGAAGGGGTCGGTACTACTTACTATAGGAGCCTGGAACCTGGCAGGCTCTTTTTATTGCAGGTTCCAAGGAGCAGGGGCCTCGACAGAGGAAGGGGGCTGCCCCAGTAGAGAAGAAGCCTGGAGCTGAAACCCACCAGGAGGGGATAGAGCTGAGCGTAGAGAATTTGAAAGCCGTGCAGACAGACTTCAGCCCTGATCCGTTTCAGAAAGTTGTATGCTTCAACCACGATAACACACTGCTTGCCACTGGAGGAACAGATGGCTACGTTCGTATCTGGAAGGTGTGGTTTCGGGGATTAGGGAATCATTGGTTGGTACCAGCAAGGCCAGAATTGTGAGAAACTGAACATGGGTTCTGGGAAACAATGTGAGCAAAGCCTACACTGAGTGGCAGAAAAAAGGAGGGGTGGGGGATGCTTGCACTCTTACCAGATACCTGGTGTAACCATGGTGATGGTTTGGCTGCAGGTACCCAGCCTAGAGAAAGTTCTGGAGTTCAGAGCCCACGAAGGAGAGATTGAGGACCTGGCTTTGGGGCCTGATGGCAAGGTGAGGAAGTGAGAAGGTGGAGAAAGTAGGGGATTATGCTGCTTGTCCCATAAGTGGATCCCCTAACTGTCCATCCTTGGAATCTTGATTCCTGACTAGTTGGTAACTGTGGGCTGGGACCTTAAGGCCTCCGTGTGGCAGAAGGATCAGCTGGTGACACAGCTGCACTGGCAAGAGAATGGACCCACCTTTTCTAACACGCCTTACCGCTACCAGGCCTGCAGGTGTGAGACCCCAGAGGGTAGCTAAAAGAGGCACAGCTTAGATGTGGTGTTGGAGTGGAAAAAGACTGGGGGGAAGCTGGGAAGGATTGGCCTTGATGGCTTGGCAGGGGACAGGAGGGCACAAACCTCTGGGAAGGGCTGGGCTGGCCCTGGGAGCTGAACAGCTTCTCCCCCGGCCCCCAGGTTTGGGCACGTTCCAGACCAACCTACCAGGCTGCGACTCTTCACGGTACAGATTCCCCACAAGCGTCTGCGCCAGCCCCCACCCTGCTACCTCACAGCCTGGGATGGCTCCACCTTCTTGCCCCTTCGCACCAAGTCCTGTGGTCATGAAGTCATCTCCTGCCTTAGTGTCAGGTGTGACAGTGGTGGCTTGACCGGTTGCGGGGTGCCTGGGGGAGCTCGGGAAGTTGTCTGGTCTGAGGCTCTGAAGACCACTCTTCATGAATGTTGCCGCACAGGCCTCCAGAACAGTGAACACTTTATTGTTTGTTGCAGTGAATCAGGCACCTTCCTAGGCCTGGGCACAGTCACCGGCTCTGTTGCCATCTACATAGCTTTCTCTCTCCAGGTAATGGGTAGAGGTGGTCATGGCCTTGAGGGCTCTTTGGGGTGGGGACTGTAGGCCTGCTTCAATCTAAGCAGGAAGGAGACCCAACTCAGAGGGAAAGCCATCTGAGGATAGGGAGCATGTTTTCCAGAAGGAATGTTTCCAGCTGGGCCTTCCCTCATTAGTTCTTCTGTCTCCAGCGCCTCTACTATATGAGGGAAGCTCATGGCATTGTCGTGACGGATGTGGCCTTTCTACCTGAGAAGGGTCGTGGTCCCGAGCTCCTTGGGTTCCATGAAACTGCCCTGTTCTCTGTAGCTGTGGATAGTCGTTGCCAACTGCATCTGCTGCCCTCACGGAGTGAGTCTTTGGAGTGGGGGGCACCACCCCACCTCTAACTGCAGCAAAACTTGCTCCTGGAGAATGGGCTGCTTGTTTGCAGCCATCTGCCCCCTTCTTGAGTGGTCCTGTTCTTAGGGTTGTTAAGCCCCTTTACTTGCTGACTTCTTTCCTTATCCTCCTGCAGGGAGTGTTCCTGTGTGGTTGCTGCTCCTGCTCTGTGTCGGGCTTATTGTTATGACCATCCTGCTGCTTCAGAGTGTCTTTCCAGGTTTTCTTTAGCCTTTCTGCTCCTAGGGAATCAGAAGCCTGGACACTGCCACCTTCTAGACCAGAGTGGAGGTCTGGACCCCATTGCTTACTCCACCTGGGTCCCCAGTTGGGGTTGCTTCTGATGATACAGATGGGTACTGCCTGCCCTGCCCAGTGAAAACTTGGCTATGGTCCTGTGTGACTCTGAATCCTGGGAACCATTCATTCTTCATCCATGTATCGACCCAGGACAGTGGTATCTGAAGCCCAGACCACACTCCCTGCATCCTTCCCTCTAACAGAGGCTCCAGAGCTTGTCCTTTCTCCAGAAACATGTGAAGATGCGCAAGAACCCAGAGGTACTGCTGTCCATCACTTGTTCTTTACATGAGCCCCTGGTGTTTGCTGGGGCAAGCCCTGGCCTAGGACTTGCAATCTGGGAAGGAAGGAGCAAAAGGAAGACTCAAGCAATAATCTCTGGGTCCAGCTGGTAACTCTGAACCAGCTAGGCTTACATATACGAGAAGTTCCTGGATGGTCTACTCTAGCTTTGAGGAAAGGGAAAATGAACCTCAGCCCATTCTTCAGGAAAAGTTGATATTTAATAAATAAGTGAAGACGGAATTAAGACCCCATTGGTACTCCTGTTAGCTCTTGCCTCCTTCAGAGCATGAGAGATCCCTGAGTTTGAGCAGCTCCACTGGATGCTGGAAGATGGCTTTGGCATACTGATGCAAGAGACGGTTCATGTAGCAGTGCTGCCAGGGGAACAGCCCTTCCAGGAAGCCAGTGTGGCCACCCCGGGCTGTGATAAGCAGTGCGACATGGGGAGAGTGTTGGGCAGCCTGTAGTGGAAGGGCTTGGGGAGAGGTTGGAGAGGAGGTCAGGAACCCTGACCTTTCCTGAGAGCCCAGGCTCTCTCCACTTGTACCTCATGGCCCGTTTTCCCCAGGGCCTATAAAGCATCCAGATTCAGGGTGCTCACCATGGACTGGGGAGAAGGGGTCATCAGCTGCATTGAGACAGAGCACAGGTGTCTGGATGGCATCTACCTTGGTTCTTGGGCTTGCTGTTTGGTAGTAGGTAACACAGTCTTGATATCCAAAGGCCACAGTTGTGTAGCGCTCATCGAACTGGCGGATTGTGCGGGCCTGCCCGTGGTAGAGAGTGGGGTAGGCTAGGATGAGGATAGGCAGTAAGAAGATCTTGAACATTTTTGGGCATGGGGTAGTGGTTAAAAGACTATACCTGTAGCACGAAGTCTACGTTTACCACCTTTTCCATCACCTTTCTATTTCTGCAAAAGAGTTCATAGAGGTTTGACTCTCCTGGACCTGACCCTGTCTTATCTCATGAGTGAGCAAGCCCAGATAGAGAACTGACCTGAGCATTGGGAGAACCTGGTATGTCTGCCATCCCACCCTGTCTGCTGCCTCTTCCCACTTGCCAAACCCTACCGGTTCACAATGTGGCAGAGCTCAGTAGTGAGGCGCTGATTGAAGAGCAGTGAGTAGAGTGGGGTCTCCAGGGAGCGAGTGGTCTCAGAGGAATCCCAGCATGCAGATAGAGTCAGTGCCGCCACTAGCCCAGAAGCCTGCCCTGTTTGTGCCAGGTGATTCAGCACTAGTATCCTGAAGGATGGACCAGGGGCCATGAAAGGGGTTTGCATTAGTGAGTGGGGACAGAGGAGAGGGAAGAGGACATGGAGGAGGAAACAAGACTGGGCCTTCAGGTCAAGCCCAGGCAAACTTTACCCTCCAAGAGAGATGCCCACAGCCAACAGTGGAGCTCGGGGGTAGTGGTGCTTTATGTGTTTCACAACTATCTCCAGATCTTCAGTATTGCCAGCAGAAAAGGCCCTGTGGGTCTGAGGCAAACCAGATCATTGGGTAGGGAGGGGGGCCCTGGCCAGAAGGCAGAAAGATGGAAGGGTTCAAGTGATGGAAGGGACATGGAAGAAAGGTAGGTAGAGCCCCAGGACCAAGGATCTCCTAAGGGAGTGGGGTGAAGAGCTGTGATTAGGAAGGAGGGTACTCACCAGCAGTTCTTCCCCACGGCAGCCCCGATTATTAAATACAACAGCTCTGTGGCACACACAGGTACATCTCAGCGAAACCCTCCCTAGAAATCCCGCTCCCTTTCTGGTAGCCTTCAGAAAGACCCCAGTCGGAAGGTGCCCTTCATAGAGTGCCTTCTCCCCACAGGTATCAGGGTCTTCATTGACCTCCCCATTACAAGTTCTCAGACACCACCCACTTCCTCTGGATTTGGCCCCTTCTTACCTATAGCCATCCCTCAGAGTTTGGTTAACTAGTTGCAGGATATAGGAGTCCTGGCTACTGCCTGTGATACCAGGAAGCAGTAATACAATGGGCTGGGTAGTAGGGTCAGGGCCCTGACTCCTGTCGTGCTGGCAAGCCCAGTCTACCAGGAACTGGCCTCCATCTGGGGTTTGGAGGACTTCACTGTGGTTTTGGAGAAAAGGGCACACAAAGATACTATTAGGGACACTATGTACTTCAGAAAGTTTACTTCTCTTCCCCCACGACTCCCAGACCTTCCCACTGGCATCGTTTGAGGTTATACATTATGCAAGACATTAAGACCATAACGAAATGTGGGGCACCTGGGTGACTCAAATCGGTTAAATGTCTGCCTTTGGGTCAAGTCATGATCCCAGGGTCCTGGGATTGAGCCCCAAGCCCCAGGTCGAGCCCCAAGCCTGCTGAGCAGGGAGCCTGCTTCTCCCTCTGCCCCTTCCCATGCTTGTGCTTTCTCTAAGTAAATAAAAAATTAAAAGACCATAACAAAGTATAAGGGACATAAAAGATTAAATATTACCTCATGGTTGAGCAATTAAATAGCCCTTTCATACAGCCATTCTCATTGTTATTCCCAAAACACCAGGATAGATGGGGCAAAGATTACCTTCAATTTAAAAGAGATACACAGGATTCCCCTGTAGTTGCAGCCTCCTGTTTATCCCCCAGTCCCTTCTTACCTCCAGTAAGCGACTGGAGGCTGAGGCTGCACTAAGACTCGGAAGATGGTTTGTAGCCGCCCCTCAAAACACCACAGCGTAGGGTAGAACATCTCCAGAGTGACTGGACAGTGTTGCTCCAGGAAGGCCAGAAACCAGGACCCAGTCACCAGCTGAGGCTTCTGCAACCACAACACAGTCAGCCTCATTCCTCTGGTGTTTGCACGGCCAGTGAGGCACCCGATACCAGAGTGACCCCTCTCTGGAGGCCAGCCTCTGGTGGTAAGAAATCTAGCAAACCTTGGTCGGAATGGCCAGGTCACTTCTGTGAATGTAGTCCAGCTAGAGCCCTGAGGAACAACAGTTTGGAGTGCTACCTCCCCAGCCTGACTCTGAACAGACTCAGTAGCAGCTGACCAGTGCCGACTCCTGCTCAGCCTATCCATGCCCTAAACCCATTTTGGAAAGAGGAGATAATTGGAAAGAGCAGCTACCAGCTGACTCCCAAGTAGAAAGGGTTGGCATCCTGGTCAAAGGTTGAAGAAGTATAGCCCTCCCATTCATTCTGTGACTTTTGCCCTGCAATTCAATGATCCACACTGGCATTTTCCTAAGACTAGCTGTGGCCATGCTGGCTCCTGGTTTTAGCACCACATGTTGCCACATATTCTCATTCCCTATCACACGCTCACTGCTGAAGGTCCTCTACCACAGGTCCTCATTTTCTTATTCATGGGACCCCTGTTAGAGCATATTCCAAAGGAGGAAGAGTCCCAATGGGAACAGATTTTTCTTTCATGCCAGCCAAAGGGAAGGTGGCAGAGATAGAATGGCAGGGACAGACGTGTCAGTGGGGGGTTGGCCCTGACTTTCAGCCCCTCTGCTTGGTTCTTCTGGATGCACAAGTGAATGAGAGGGCCCAGCCACACAGGTTTATGAAAGAGGGGTATGCTGTAGAAAGCTAAAAGGCCTCAGGCTCAAGAAATAGAAATTGCATTTCTGTTGCAGGTCCTAAGGAACCTGGCTACCAGATTCCTATATCTTCTGCAGTCTCAGTACTCAAAAAAGGCTAGGTAAATTATGAACTAGAGAGGCTAAGTTGGTAGTGCAACTGTTGTAAGATGTGACTCATACCCTGCTCCTTAAGCCCTGGAATGATGAGGCTTGTGATTCATTGTGTGCTGTGTGCAGGTACGAGGTTTAACCCAGCCTTATGAAATAGGATATTTTATAAATGAAGAAACTATGGCTCAGATTAAGTTGTTTGTCCAAAGTCACACAGCAAGAGGCAGAGCAGAATTCCCAATTACGGTGTTACCATCAATATTAGTAGGTAAAATATGTTGAGGGCTCATGTTTCAAGCATTGTGCTAAGCACTTTACATGATTATATCCTGTGATTTTCTTTCTTTTTTTAAAAAATATTTATTTATTCATAGAGACAGAGAGAGAGAGGCAGAGACACAGGCAGAGGGAGAAGCAGGCTCCATGCACAGAACCTGACATGGGACTCGATCCAGGGTCTCCAGGATCACGCCCTGGGCTGCAGGCAGCGCTAAACCGCTGCGCCACCAGGGCTACCCCTGTGATTTTGTTTCACAACAGCTTTTTGACATAGATCATGAGAACCCCTGTGGGAACAGGTTTGAATATTGAATAAGTTATCAAGGTCATGAAGCTTGCCGAAGACAGCAAGAGGTGTCAAGTGGCAGAGGTGGGATTCAAACCCAGGTCTGACTGTAGCTTGTACTCTGTCACTGTACTATATTGCCAGGATTTTGAGTTGTTATCAGTTTATGGAATCCTTGATCAAACAGTTTAGCAGTGTAGAACAAATTAGGTCACAGATTAATTTCATTTTAGCTCTAGTAAGGAGTTTCTTGACTCCTTCTTGAGAATTAGTAATATGCCACTGGTCTTTCTAGATGAATCCATACTAGTCCATTACCATTTTGGACAATCCAAACTCCTCAGGACTTTCAGAATGCACTTTTCCTGCATTTTAACCATAATTTTGGAAGTCAAGGAAGGGTTTGGAGTATAAAGAAAGGGCATACTTGACTTCTTTGTGGCTGGTTGCAAGCAAAGGAAAATGTTTAGTTAAGTACAGCTCTGATCTGAAATGACCAACTTTCAAAATCAGGCATAGAAGGTAAGATTTATAGGGTACTATGAGGTTTGGATCTTTTGTTTCAGTAAGGCCAACTTAATGTGAATGTAGAAAGCTCTGAAAATAGAGAAAAGTCTAGGTAACATTTAAATTCCCCATAGGTTTTTTTTTAAGGGTTTGGATCAATAGGTTTTCTATTGAACTCAGTTATCTAGAACAGTCTAATGAAGGTTAAGAGATGTAGATTTTTCTGGATATGTAAATTATGTATTTTATCTAAATTTCAGAGAAAATTTCCCAAGGTCATCAAAATCAACCTCTTCAGACTTTCCCATTGTGCGGTATTTACATGGAGAGCCTAGAAATTAAAACAGGGCAGAACGACCAACAGGGTTTTCCATTAGTCCTGAGCTGGGCAGAGAACCTCCACCAGCCTTTAAGAGAAGCAAGACCCTACTAAGCCGATGGGATGGTGGGAGTTACCCAGAACCACACAGGTCCCTGGTTCCTTTATTCAGTGAAGCTAGTGAGAAACTGGGCTAGACTGCCTTCTTAGAAGAGGAAAGCCTCTCCCTGACACCTCAGGATGCCTTCCACCAGCCCTTCCCCAAATGTTTGGTCCCACATCCTAGGGACCAACAGCCCTCCCATGCCTGAAAGGCCCAACTGGCACGGGGAGCATATGGGATGCAGAGAATCTAGGCAGGCAAGAACCGACTCTCCGTTAGATGATCATAGCAAAGCAGAACCCTGCTGGAGCACGCGGCAGGGCTGGTGGTGGAATAGGGGCATCAAATTAAACCTGCTGCAGGACGCCCAATCGTGCTGCCTCCCACAAAGGGCTCGAGCAAGGACCAGTCACCAGCTGAAGTCACCAGCCCGGAGCATCCTAAACCCGCCGGCCAGAGCTCTGAACCCGCACCCACCTGGGGCACACATCTCCAGTAATAGCCCAAGTAGAGGGTGGCGCCAAGGACTAAAAGCAGAGAGAAGGGCTCTGTCCAGGTGACATTCGGAGGGCTCTGGAAGGAGCTCGGCATCCTGGGTGGCTGGGTTCCGACTCCCAAGTTCCTGACTGGCCCCAGCGCCTGGCCCCGCGGGTCACACGCCATTGGGCCGCCTGTGCGGGCCTGGTCCGGGCCCCGCCCACCGCCGCGGCGGGCGTGGCGAGGGCCGCTGCCGGGACCCCGCCGGACGCCGAGCCGAGCCGAGTCACCTGCAAATGGCCACCGCGCCCGTCGCCGCCCGGGTCGCGCGCCCGCGCGCCTCCTGCTTCCGCCTCGCGGTCACCGGCGGTGCCGCCCCCTGCCAGGGCTGGCGGCCTCCCCCGCAGCCGCCATCTTGGTGGGAGGTGCCTCCGCGCCCCTCTCGAGCCCTGCCCCGCCGCGCGGCCTCGGCGGCAACCTGCTCGGGTCCCCCTGCTACCCAGCCACTGGCTCACAGGACGCAGCCACACAGGGCAGCATTCCACACAGAGTCACACACGCAGGGGCACCTGGTGGTTCAGTGGTTGAGCGACTGCCTTCACCTTAGGTCGTGATCCCGGGGTCCTGGGATCAAGTCCTGCATCAGGCTGCCCGAAGGGAGCCTGCTTCTCCCTCTATGTCCCTGCCTCTCTGTCTCTCATTAGTAAATAAATAAAATCTTTAAAAAAAATCAACACGGGTTAGAGTCACTCACACAGTGTCATCCTACACTGTTCCATATAATCCCTGTCAAGTACAACATGTATACTCATCACCCACTTTGTACCAGGCACTTGGGATACCTGGGGGATGCTGTTCCCTGTCATCACTGGAATGTGGAAACAAATATGTAATCGAATAGAGCAGTAGTTCTCAAACTCGGTTGAAGATTAGAATCCTCTGGAGTTTTAAAAACTCCCAGGGCCCAGGCCTCACACACACACACCCACCATAGTTGGTCTGGCAGAGAAGCCTAGGTGTCAATAAAACAGGAGTTCTCTGGAAGATCCCAACAAATAGTCAGGGTCGAATCCCTGCCATAGGGCATGGGGCTAGGTAAGGGAAGTACAGCTGCAGTGGGAGCACTGAGGAGGGTGCCCAAACTCCCTGGGTCAGAGAAAGTGTACCCAGATGTTAGATGATGATACATTTAAGGTGAAATAAAAAAAGGAGTAGAAGTTTCCCAGGCCATGGAGAGGTAGGGAGAGAATAGTTCCAGGAGCAGAAACGGCATAAGCAAAAGCCTGGATATAAGAGGCTTTTTTTTTTTTTTTTAAGATTTTACTTATTTATTCATGAGAGACACACACAGAGAGGCAGAGACACAGGCAGAGGGAGAAGCAGGCTCCATGCAGGAGCCCGATGTGGGACTCGATCCCAGGATCCCAGGATGACAACCTGAGCCCAAGGCAGACGCTCAACTGCTGAGCCACCCAGGCATCCCTATAAGAGTCTTCTTAAAGGAACCAAAAGAAATCTGTTGTGTCTGGAGCATATGAGATGGTCAAGAATCAGGCTGTGAGCAGCTACATAAAGGAAGTTAGAATTTAAACTAGGAGTGGAGGAAAGGCACCAAAGCGTTTTAAGAAAGAGTGGGCAACGTGGCCAGAATTGCATTTCAGAAGAATCATTCAGGCAGTATGGAGAATGGATTGGAGGAGGATGAGAATGGAAACAGGCCAGTTAGGCCTTTTAAGAGAACTTTGGTATGGCAGACGGCTGCCTAGACTAGAGGAAGTTCTAAAGAGGAGTGAAGATCTTTAAGATAGGAGGCAAGATTGATAGGACTTGGTGGTAGGTTGGATGTCAGAGGAGAAGGAGAAGTTGTGAAGGCCTCCCAGGTTTCTGACTGTATGACTCAGGGATGCATGGCAGTGCCAGTTCCTGGGGTAAGGGAACTGGGGAAGCGGAAGGTTTGAGGAGGAGGAGGATATGTTCTGACTTAGCTGCATAGAGGTTAGCGTGCTAGTAGGTGTCCTAATTTGTTTTCTTAGATTATGTATTTGTCTATTTGACATCCATTAATCGCAGGGCCAAACTAACAGCCAAAGTTGACATCTCATTTGCAATCCAGAGCCCATACTCTGAGCCGCTCCTTTGTCTAATTCTCACTCAACAAACCAGTATTTCCCCTGTCCTAAATCAACCCAGATCAGGTATCAGATAACTAGAACAGTCCCTATGTCCCAAAGTCTGCCTGAATGACTCAAACTAGCCAATCCTAAACTGTCTACCTTGCCTTGACTTACCTTTCGCACTTAATAAAGGTTGTGGCCTAAGCCTTTCCTCCTTGTTCCTTTCTTTCTTTGCAATGATTTTATTTATTTATTCATGAGAGACACAGTAGGAGAGGCAGAGGGAGAAGCAGGCTCCCTTTGGGGACCCCAAAGTGAGACATGATCCCAGGACCCAGGATCATGCCTTGAGCCTAAGGCAGACACTCAACCACTAAGCCACCAAGGTGCCGCCCACCCCTACCCCCTTGTTCCTTTCTGCCCACTACCTTGGGCTTCCCCCTGTCATCCTATGTAGTGAGCTGTGTCTCTTATTTCTAGGGGAACTGTAACATTAAAATTTTCTTTCAATGGCATTGGCCTCTCCATGTCGTCACTCAGTCACCTTTATAAATTAAAATCTAGGCACAGGGGGGGGGTCCCTGGGTGGCGCAGCGGTCTGGCGCCTGCCTTTGGCCCAGGGTGCGATCCTGGAGACCCGGGATCGAATCCCACGTCGGGCTCCTGGTGCATGGAGCCTGCTTCTCCCTCTGCCTGTGTCTCTGCCTCTCTCTCTCTCTCTCTCTGTGACTATCATAAATAACTAAGTAAAAAATAAAAAAAAAATCTAGGCACAAATTAGAGGATGTCAATTCCTTAAGTGGTCTGGAGCTTGGAGATTGGAATTTGAGATTTCGTAGTCATCAGCATTTAAATGATATATTAGTTTGCAGTACTGCCATAACCAAGTACTACGTGCTGGCTGTCTTAAACAACAGAAGTTTTATTGTCTTACATTTCTGGAGGCTGGAAGTCCAGAGTTGAGAAAGATCCGTTCCTTTTGACAGCTGTGAGGAAGCATCTGTTCCATGCCTCTTCTCTAGCTTCCGTAGCTTATGGGCGATCTTTGGCATTCCTTGGCATGTAGAAGCTTCATTCCAATCTCTGCCTGCATCTTCGCAGTGTGTGTGTGTACGGACACCAGTCATACCGGAGTGGAGTGGACCAACATGGCCTCATTTTCACTAATTATACCTGCAACAACCCTATTTCACATTCTGAGGTATTGGGGATTAGGATGGCAACATATAATTTTTGAGGGGTTCAATCCCAACCATAACAGATAGTGATGGAAGCTACATGAATAGATGAATATGTGAGCAGATGAGGAGGGAGAAGAGAGCCCAGAGGAACTCTGACACATAACAAAAATGAAGAAGAAATGCCGAGAGAAAGAATGGTGTTGCCGAAACCAGTAGAAACCATAATTCCAAAAGACAGAATCCAGCAGTGTCTACCATAGGAAGGAAGACAGGGTGACCTTGATGAAAGTCTGTTTGTTGTGATAGATGCTGATGGGAAGGAGCTCATGGAGAGGGAGAAGTTGAAGATTCTGGAGAGATAAGTTATTCCTTTAAAGAGCTAAGACCTTGGGCCAGTGGGTGAGGATGTAGTCTGAAGCATCCATAACAAAAACATCACATTGTAACAAAAGTAGATTAGCTCCATTTTGACCGCAAAGCTACACTCCCTGCTAGCAAAGGACCGCCACCATCGCCCTTAAGATGATCCTTTTCCCAGCCCCCTTCCCAACCGTGCCTCATAGGGAGCCACTTCTCAGTGATGCCCGCGGTCACAGCCACACACAATGACACCTTCCCTGGAAGCTGGCAGTCACCACTGTGCCTTGAGCATCACAGACGAGTCAGGAAGAGGTCCACCAGATACCCTGACACGTGTGCCACTCGTTATCCTCTCCTGTCACACACCTAGACAGTCATTCACACACTGGCCATACCCTCTCAAGGCCATCTTGTCGCTCTGGATACAGGGTCCCATACGCCTACTGTCACAAGTGCCTCATAGGACAGCCACAGCCACCCCAGTCACCATCACAGTGAGTTAGCGTGGTCCTGTCCTGCACATCTGGGGGCCAGCAGGCAGCGGCACCGGCAGCGTCACCGCCGCTGGACATGCTTCCCATACACACCAGCGTCACCATCTGCCCGCCGGTCTCTGTGTCTAGGTCTGTCTCTGTCTCTCTCCGCGAGACACACACACACACACACACACACACACACACACACACGCACGCACGCTCACCCCCCGCGCCGGGACCGGGACCGCGGGGACGACGGCCGCCGGGGCTGCGGAAGGCGGCGGCCCTGCCCGCGCCCGCTGGCGCTGCGGACTCTGCCCGGGCCAGGGCGGCGGCCGGCCGGAGGGCGACGTGGAGCGGCCACGTGGAGCGGCCCGCGGGGGGGAGGACCCGGCGGCCGCGGCGAGCCGAGGCGCGGCCAGCGCACAGCCTCAGCCGCCGCGAAGCCAGACCCCAGCCCTCGCCGCGCCGCCGCAGGTGGGTCCGCGCTCCGCCCCGGGGCGGCCGGGCACCGGGCTGGGCGGGCGGGGGGCCGGCGCCGCCACCGGAGCCCGCGGGGACGCGCGGGTCTCGGGGCGGGACCGCGGGGCGGGGGCGCCCTCCCGGCCCCCGGCCCCCGGGCTGCAGAGGCAGGCCCTCTGCGTGCCCCCCTGCGGCGGGAGGAGGTTCCCCTGGAGACCAGGTAGAGGGAGGGGCCGGAGAGAATCCTGAGCTCCCAGGTGTGATGAGGGGGGCTCACAATTGCCCACCCGCCTTTCCCTCCAGGGGCTCCTTTGTCCCTCTGACATCCTGGGAGGGAGGTTGGGGGCCGGCAGGAGTTTCATCCTCATTTGGCAGATGAAGAAAAGGGGGGCTGGGGAGGGGCCCCAGGTTATCGCCCAGCTGGAAGTGGCAGGGTAGAGATCAGCTCTCAGGTGTGGGACCTTTTTGGCTGTAGAAGCTCTCTCTCTTCTTTTTTTTTGGGGGGGGGGGGAGATGGTGTCTTGGGAGGCAGAAGGGGCCACCAGAGGGATAAGTTAAAGGTTAGGATTTGGTTCAAAATAATTTTTGGACAGTTAGACTCAGCGAGAAATGGAGTGGATGCCCTGTGAGGTGCTAGACTCCTGGCCTGGAAAGTTAAGCAAGCCGGAATGGCCATTGATGCTGTGGAAGAAAGTTTTGCACTGGACAGGAAGCTACCCAAGATCAAAGGCCTCTGCTGCATCCTAGATTCTCTGGAAATACTCAAATGCCCGTCATTCAACCTGCATGATCCCATTGCATCTTCCCCAGGCCCTTACAAGACAGATACTGTTACCCCAGGTCCAGAGAGAGTGAGACACCCACCCGGATCACACTTTCAGGACTGGGAGGCAGGATTTGTTCAGAGGTCTCATGCCAGGAGGGCTCTCTTCCCATGTGCTGGTGCACTGGCTTGAAGCAATCCGAGGCCTGAGAGTCACTGCAAATGTGAGTGTATGAATGTGAGTGTGTGTGAAGGATGTGAATAACTATTGAATTACATCATAACTGTTAACTATGACTTGTGGCTTTCAGGTGGTCTGAGGATAAATTACATCTGTGGGCATTACAGTTATAGGAGATGATTAGGAAGTGGTTCATAATGGCTTTATTTCTGCTGCTTACAAAAACTTTTGTAAATGCTGAGAAATGTCTTAAGGGTGAACAAATCATATTACACCAACCTCATTACACATTACTCGAGGTGCCTTTAAGCTTGAATTTCTTTAAACAGTAGAGGTGGATCACCTGTACCAAAAAGGACAGAAGCATAACTTAAGAGAATATTATTTAGATGGCATTAATAGTCCACATACAGTTATTTAAGCTTGTGACATGAACTGTAACCAGAGTGCTCAGGTTGTCAGGAGGGCCCAGGGTATTCCAGGTAGAGGGTAAATCAGCTTGGGCAAGAGCCCTGAAAAGTGAAAGTGAGAAGTATGTTGGGAGACTCCAGTAACCCTTCTGTTTGAAGCCAAGTGTTAATGTAATGGAGCCCTGGAAGATGAATATAAAATGGTAACCTCATAGCTGATTATACAAGGCCTTGAATGCCCAGCTGAGGACTCTGGACTGTAATAGAAATTGGGAGCCATTGAAGATTTTGTGGCAGTGGCATTCTAGCTAAGGAAGATTAATGTGGGGACGGAGGGTTCTTTTTTTTTTTTTAAGATTTATTTATTTATTTGAGAAAGAGAGAGAGAGAGAGCAAAGGGAGGAGCAGAGGGAAAAGGAAAGAGAGAATCTCAGTCTTCATGCTCAGGACACGGGGCTCAATCTCACCACCCCAAGATCATGACCTGATCCAAAACCAATAGCCAGATGCTTAACCAACTGAGCTACCCAGGCACCCCTGAAGGGTTCCTTAAATGGAGAAGCTACCAGAGGCAAGGACAAGAAAGATGCTACTACATTAATTTGTGCAAGAAGGAATTCATTATGTACTTACTATCCATTGTAATTGTGTGAGGTGAGTTCTGTTATTATCTCATTGTGTGGATAAAGTAACCGAAGTTCAATGAGGATAATTAACTTACCCAATTAACAGCCTGTGGTGGGGCTGTCCCAAAGCTCTGTTCTCTCTCCACTATACATACTTTATAGTTGTATACATATGATGGATGCGTTAGGACCAAGAGGAGAATAATGGTAATTCATGTAGGCAGGGTTCAGGATCAGATACACGCTTTCAGGGCCTAGGGCAAGAACAAGATTAAGAATTTCAAGATGGAGGGATCCCTGGGTGGCGCAGCGGTTTGGTGCCTGCCTTTGGCCCAGGGCGCGATCCTGGAGACCCGGGATCGAATCCCATGTCGGGCTCCAGGTGCATGGAGCCTGCTTCTCCCTCTGCCTGTGTCTCTGCCTCTCTCTCTCTCTGTGTGACTATCGTAAATAAAATAAAAAAATTAAAAAAAAAAAAAAGAATTTCAAGATGGAGGAATCCTTGGGTGGCTCAGTGGTTCAGCGCTGCCTTTGGCCCAGGGCATGATTCTGGAGTCCCGGGATCAAGTCCCACATTGGGCTCCCTGCATGGAGCCTGCTTTTCTCTCTGCCTGTGTCTCTGCCTCTCTCTCTCTCTCTCGCTCTCTCCCTTTGTGTCTCTCATGAATAAATAAATAAAATCTTTAAAAAAAAAAAAGAATTTCAAGATGATGGGGTGCCTGGCTGGCTCAGTCGGTAGAACATGAGACTCTCAATGTCAGGGTCATGAGTTCAAGCCCCACACTGTGCGTGGAGCCTACTTAATTAAGAAAAAAAGGAGAAAGAATTTCAAGATGGTGACAGCAGAGCATTACACTAAGCCAAGAACCCCTCTGAGAGGTGGGCTCCGTGTGACTACTGCCCAGTCACACACAGTTCTGATTACTAAGACAACAACCATCTTAAAACTTAGTGGCTGGAAACAATAACATGGATTTGTTCATGAGCGTGCAGTCTTGAAATTCTTTCTCCTTCCAGACTTCTTCCATGGTGGCTCAGGGCTCCAGAGGTGCATACTGGCCTGTGGGGAGATGAGAAAGAAGCAGAGCCAGGTCTATGTCACCTTTTATGACATACACCTGGAAGTCGTGTAGCTGTATTTCAGCTATTCATTAGAAGTGAGTGGCTAAGTCCAGATCGCATACATGGAAAGGCAAATTGGACTTGGTCCTTTGTGGAAAGAAGTGTCAATCAATTTGTAGACCTTTTGCAAACCAGCACATTTGGCCTAATGAGTGAGTGGATTAGTGGGATCTGAGGGGTGCTTCCCCTTTATGCCTGAATTGCTACTACCAGAGAGTCCTCTTTTAAAAGGCACCTGCTAGTGCATGATCACACATGAAGCCCAGATAATAGGTTTTGGCAGCTCTGAGGGATTTAAATTATTCCAGTCCCTCCAGTAGGCGCAGGTCCTGGCAGTGAACAGATGGGGTGGCAGTGCAGAAAATAATCTGAGGGTATCCAGTGGGGAGACCAGGAGGGTGGGTATGTGTGAAGCCACTGCAGAGGAATCCAGGAATATTTCCAGAGGGAAAAAGGCATTATTGGATGACCAGGCACTGTGCAGAATGTGTAGGATGTGTAAAATCGAACCCCACACCCCATGAGAGATGCTCTCGTCTGCCTTAGGTTGCAGATGGAGAACGTGAAGCACAGAAGTCCCACAACTACTGCATTTGAGAGCTGGAGTTTGGATTCAGGTGGCCTGGGGCTTTGGGCCCGGACCTACCCTTCACCTTTGGGCTATGCCACCTCATCCTTAGGAAGTCTGTGTTTCTCTTTCTCCCAATCATTATCTAACATTTGTATCTTTCCTTTATTTTATGTTTGCAAGCTTTAAGGAACTACAAGGATAAGTAATTCTACTTTGTATTATCATCTCACTTATAAGATAGTTCCTCACACATAGTAGGTGCCTGATAGTATTATCTTCATTCTACAAACTTACATCTATACTTGCCTTCCCTATGGATGCTCACCTTCTGGTCTTTGTCAACATAGGTCTTTGACATCTGGTGCTGCCAAGCTACCCCCTGTGGCATCAGTCCCAGGGTCTGTTCTTTCTGGCGTTCTCTGTCTGGCCTCTTCTAGCCAGCTGGCCCTCTCAGCAATTATATGTCTCTTGTTCCACCTTAGAGTCTAAAACCCTCAGCTGAACCCTGCCACCACCACCCCTGAAAACGCCAGCAGCACCCTGGACGAAAAGAACAGCGCCCTCTGACCCATGGACCCATACCCTCCTTCAGCCATTACTTCCTGAACACTCAAGCCCCCTGTGGGCAAGACCTTCTTCCTAATCCTCCTGGCTTAGGCACAGATGTCTTCAGCCTTGCAGCCTTGCAGCCTTGCAGCCTTTCCACTCAGTCAGTCCCCCGTAGGAAATCTCTCTCAGATTTGTCTTTGACCCCCTGTTGGGGTAGGCTGCAGTGAGCTCCCCGCTACAGAGAGAACCCGAGTAGTTTTAAAACCTACTCGCATTCCTCCAGTCCTTTATTCCACCTGTCCTGTTATACTTATGGTGTCTTTCATAATACAGAAGTTTAAAGCTTTTTTAAAATTACTTTTAAAGATTTTATTTATTTGACAGAGAGAGAAAGAGAGAGCACAAGCAGGGGGAGAGACAGAGGAAGAAAGAGAAGCAGCCTCCCTGCTGAGCAGGAAGCCCGACATGGGGCTCAATCCCAGGCCCCTGAGATCATGACCTGAGCTGAAGGCTGACACCTAACTGAGCTATCCAGGCACCCCTAAACCTTTGATATATTCAAATCTATTTTTTGCAATATTTATCATTTTTTAAAAAGTATTTGAAAAAGAGAGAGAGCAGGGGAGGGGCAGAGGGAAAGAAAAAGAAGCAGACGCCCTGATGAATGCAGAGCCCGACATAGGGGTTGGGATTGGTGTGAGAGACCGATTCCAGACCCTGAGACTGTGACCTGGTAGAAACCAAGAGCCCAACTGACTGAGCCCCCAGGTGTTCTGCAAGACTTATTTCTAAA